AAAAATCAATTAGATTCAAATGATGGAAAGCTTATAATAACGGTGGTGTTCTGGGTTGTTGTGTCATGTAGTCTGGTGTAATATTACGAAGTTTCAGAAGTACTTGCAGGGCGATCACCCTGACGATGGAGGCAGCAAGCACCTCTGAAATGTCCGCAACCTTCTATCAGACTACACGCTGCAACAACCCAGAAGACAGTCATCATCTTACTCTCCGCCATGAGAACCTGAAATATTACAACATTTTAAATTTTTATATATGCTATTTTTCAGTGCTACCAACAGCAATATTGAAGTAAACTATAATTTCTGTTGATTTTCTAATCGGCATTTATTCATGCGTGCGCGTTATACAGGAAATGTCAAACAATATTAGTGCAGTGGTAGGAGTTGCTTACGATAGCAATTAAAATCAAATACAGAGTAAAGATAATCAAGAACAGTGCAGACAGAAAGAGAGCCAAGGCAGTGAGTAAACGCCTGAATGACTAAATGCACTGATTTGAATTTAGAATGGAAAATTAATTAATCTTGTGACCACAGCAACGATTATTCTGGCCGACAAATGACTGCCTCTGCTCGCAGAAGACCGCGTCTTCCGCTAGCCCTTACTGAATTCATTATAAGAAGCGAGGGGTGTGGGGACCTAAACACAGCAACGCAGATACACACATGACGAGGTGGTCGACTAAAAACACGGGAAATTAATGGTTTGATATAATTAGAGATTCTTAGATGAGAACAAGGTACGACAGATTCATATCACAATTTCATTTAATTCTTTTTGTGTTAAAATTTGCATTGTGCCTAAGCAGAGACACATTTTGTTACACAGATAGCTCAGTCAGTACAGTGGTAACGCTACGGGCTGGACGACCGAGGTTTGGTTCCCGGCAAGGAAAGAATTTTCTCTTCGTTATGACGTTCAGATTGGCTATGGGACCAATCCAGCCTCCCATCCAATGGGTGCCGTGTTTTATTCTTGGGGAAGTGTGTAGTTAACCACTCTCCTCCATCTAATACTGATGGTAAGAATATTTGGAGAGGTACTTCCACTCATACATACATCAGAACGACCTGGTGCTTAACATCGCACCGGGGACAACTTTATCTTACTCAAGTATTGGCTTATTTGTTTCGGTACATGAAAGGTAATTATTATTTTATTACTTTTGTTCACTATAGGAATAAAATATTTATTTATACGTTTTATCAAATATTTAAGAACAAACTTCACTTCCATTCAATTACCACCCTCAGAACTTACGTTGCTACACAAATATTTGACTCAAGCGATTGAGATTCAAAATTGTTTTCAAGAATTGGCAGTCTCGAATCTTGTCCGGGATATCAATTACCTGATGATTTTCGTGATCCTTCTCAGTCTCTCCACAATACGTTTTTTTTTTCCAGAATGTCATATTTCTCATGCGTTCTACACACTAGATCCACCCCCTTCACCCACTGTCATTCTGCCCTTAAGCGCTACAATATGTTAGCGTTAGTCTCTTTAATTGCAAGTTGAACTTAAGGCTCTTAAATAAGATGGGACATTAGGTCTATACAGAGGAACCAAAGTTTGAACCAGAACGATTTTCATTAACTTGTGTATTTCTGCACAGGTGACTGTGAAAACTGGTACGGTCCCCTCAATCCATCCGTCCGTAAGTCCACATGTTTCATCTCCGAAAATGCTGAATGTATTTCGTTGAAATGTGGTACTGGAAATCTACATCAAATGTCATCAAGTGGATTAAACTTCATTTCTTATCAGTAGTCACTAATAAAGTATCTTATAAAATTATACTCTCTCCTATGAATAACATGAGGACGAGACATTTAAGTGGTTTTACAAAAAGGGAAATGAGAAATATTTTATTGGGAAGCCTGAAGGAAAGAGCCCACTCGAGAGACCTAGAAGTAAAAGAGACGATAAAAATGATTCTTAAAGGCACATGATATGAGACTATAACACGGATTCAATTAGCTCGCAATGGTTTTAGTAGCGTAATTTCTGAACTTGTAATGAATCTTCGGGGCCAATACATAAAAAAGAATTTCTTAACCATTTGAGAGATTATTAGCCTTCGAAGAAACTAAGTCTATATGCCAGAGTTTCTGATCGTTAGTTAATTAAAGAATGATTTATTTAAAAGTCTACAGAATAACAAGTTCATTAGCTTGTAGGCCTATGCAATAAAAAAACATCATGGTCGTAGCTAAAAAGAAAATAATGCACGTGGAAACTGCATGTACTCCGCTGGAGTACACCGACATACGTTTATGACATAAAACAATCTAAAACGGATGTGATCTCTCTCTTTCCTTTAGATTTTACGTAACCGATTATTTCATTCTGACAACAGAGTCTGAAAATAATCTCATTGTCATGCCTCATTAATATGGGTCAGTAAAGTTTGACGTTCAAATTAATGTGAAGTGATTTTAACAGAATAGGCAAACCTCCATAAAACAAGTTTAGGAAACATTACACTACAAGGTAATTCCCCGTAACATTGATCCATATTAATAGCAGGACGAGAGAATTATTTTAAAAATGCCACAACGCACTATTCAAGCTAACGGAGAACCAGAACGTCATGTGTGATAAATCGATTCATCACACTGTAAAATCTATTTGCAAGGGAATCTTAATAAATGTAAAAGAATTTCCCGTTAATGCAGGTTTTCGTTCTTTCCTATACAGTAAATATAGGACATGAGGCTTACTTATACTCCTGACTGAAGTCACAGGAAAAAAATAAATTTTTTCTCCTTGTTTACTATATTACATACAGTACATAATTTTCACTTTCATTTTTCCTGTTTTCCTGTTATTATTTACCTTTTCTCTCTCCTTATGTATTTAATTATTTCTTTACTTCTTCTATATTTGTCTCTTTTTTGTTTCATTTTCGTAAGACTTGAGATGATAATCTCCCCTGCAGTCTTCTGCATTGTGCTGCCTTCAACTCTTAAATATGATTACCAACGTTTCGTATGAACTTATCGCATCCATCGTCAGGTTTAAAATACAAGATGAGGATGTGAAATATTACGTTTCCTTTCTTATTTGTCTCCAACTTCATTCTTCTCTTTTGTTCCTTGTATGTAAGACTTACTAGTTTACACTACCTCCATTTCCTCGGAAGAATTTAGAAATTTATACAACTTCTTTTATCTCTGGTACATAGAGCCGACTGTATATATTGTTACGTACCTCTTGGCATTTGGTACGTCTGTAAAGATTCCTTGTATTTACTCCAAGACAGACAGAAGTTTTGCTACTAGGTAAAAGTAATTTAGGCATACACAAAATATTTGCTTATATTTTATTGTTGCCCAAATTGTAGGCTGAAGCAGATAGTACCGTTCGGTAAGAATCATTAGCATTAAGTCTAGTTTATGGTTTATTACGTCATATTATCCTTAGTATAGCATTATGCTGTTTTACGTTGCTTTACTTCACAAAACGCGTACCAGACAAAGAGATTTTGTTGTCGTTTCGTTACAAAACGTACTGCGTCTCTGTTTTCCAATGCGCAGTCTGCTGGTATTTTACGTCCAAAGCAGAAGCTTAACAGTGGATAATCGGCCAGACCGCTTAGTTGCTACCAGCCTTAAAATGAGTTACATGCAATGCCACTATAATGTGTGGCCACCCGGAAACATGGTTTATGGACTTGTCAAGCAAGTGTAGAGCATACACCCCAAAAAAGGGGTGTAGGTTAGTGGGTGTTTAAACCCCCCACCCTCCTAACGCTCCGCCGACGTAACAAGATACGACAACGCGACAAATCACTGTCGCAATGCGAATCAACGACATGAGAGGCCTCTAGCAAAGCCGTTCGTCGTCCCATTTGTTTCACTCGTTCTTTTAACTAACAATAAGAGAGGTTTTACAGAAGGATTTGTTGTAGCTAAAATGTCACCCCATGTTCCAAACACACGCAGAAACACATGAACGAAATTAACGCTTAAGAGAAGTGAATGACGGTGTCAAACAATGAGAGAATATTTATCAAAATTCAATAACACAGGATTCGAATTTAAATTTTAAAACTAACATTATCACACTTTCTAGATAATGCAATTAACCCCAGTCTTTCAAACAGTTATATTTTCAAATAAGTTTCCACAATTACCTAGCATTTATTTGTATGAGCATAATAACGTAAGCAACAGACTTACGAACGACGATATTACATCCCATTCCAAGGATTATTATTATTATTATTATTATTATCATAATCATTATTATCCAATAATTTATTTCTGATATTCCTTCTCGAGTTCAAGTGTGTTCGTTTTGTGGGCTAAATTAAAAGTACAGAATCTGCAGTAATTTCCCTATACGACTTTGCCAGTTTCCCCTTTTGACCGTCGCTATCGTGTTCGGAGAGAGAGAGAAGAGTAAATATGCGCATATTCTGAAATGTTACTCTCTTCCCCTTTTGACCGTCGCTATCGTGTTCAGAGAGAGAGAGAGAAGAGTAAAAATGCGCATATTCTGAAATGTTACTCTCGTTTTTAATCGCCGTCACACGAAGCACATAGTTCACAATATAATCTGAAGATGTTGCTGTAATGCCATGGTCTGACTGGTCTCCTGAGCGATGCAAAGAAATGACGTTCATTTCTAATCACGTTATTCACTACAAATGAAACTTAACTTAAAAGTGACATGTTTAATGACGTTGCCTGCGGAACTCAAAATATGATCGCCACATGGTGTTAGATGATATTTGGAGAATTGTGTTTGGAGTGACGCCTACAAATGGTGTTGTATAACACTGACAGCATTATTCAGATAATGGGAGGAATTTCTGTAAATGCTCTTCAGAAATGTTTCCAGGAATCAAACCAAAACAGAAGATTAAAGATTACTACACTCTGTAAGAGTTAGTAACAACGCGCTATGTGTATAACACATATTCATCACTATAGAATAAATCAACTTATTTTTCAAATCTAGTGTATGTTCTGTGTATATTTCCTACCTTTCAAGATGTTTAACTATGTCTTCGTATGCCGCACGGCAGTTTTCCCAAATACCGGATCTACAATGAAAATAAAATACATATAACGATTATATTATTCAACCTTGTAATTTTATGGAGCGGTCTAGACCAGGGATGGGGAATCTTTTCATGTTGAAAGTCCGTATTAATTTAGCTGCAATCAAATAAGGCCGCATACAAGAAACTTCAATTAGATATACTTAAAAATATACATTATTCTGTAAAAATCTAACTAGTATGTTCTTAATAATTTCAAAAAATGAAAACTATTTGTTAATTTTACAGTTAACTGATCTTTTAATGACTTTGTTGTGTCTGATTTTTGTTGGAAACAATTTGAATGTTTGGTTGCAGCATGGAGGTTCGCAGTTTCAATCGATCCTCATTTGTGACCTTAAGGGCGTCTTGAAAAATATATTAATAAAAATAAAAGTATCTGTTCTGTAAAATTTGGATTCAGTCAAAAGGCCGCACTTAAGGAGCTAGAAAGCCACATGTGGCCTTAAGGCCGCAGGTTCCCCACCCCTGGTCTAGACGATTCGTAATTCCTAAAAATGAAATGGTTACAATTACGACAGTATATAAATTAGATTAAAGAAAGACTGGAACTGTTGGACTGGATTACGTTAAACACATTATATTCATATACTGTAACTATTAATTTGTGGTTAATTTTTGCCCTCTCCATAAAATGTGTAGTTAAACACAAATGCTGTGACATGAGTAGCCTGTATCACGTGGTTATGCCTTTTTCGTTCCCGCCCATGATACATACAGTGCAATAAAGTCGAGTTAATAAAAAATCAAAGATAGCATTGAATTTTAAGAAGCAAAGATTGAAACAGAGACGAAATTCTTTGAAGGTATCTGTAAGAGAAATGTGCTTCTAATAACTTCTTCGGTTTTGATTACATCTTTTTTCTCCTGTCTTCGCAGATAAGAATTCCAGACGTACTGCGGTTTTGTAAAAGAACCCGTACATGTTAAAAGAACAAATTCGAAATGAGAAGATGATCTGAATTTTTATTAATTCATTTCCTTACCCTCCTTCAAGCTTGTCATCTCGTTCGGTTAAATATAACGAGAAATATTATTAATGGTAGGTACAGAGACCAATAGATGTCACCAATGAGACATTTGCTTAGGGAGAGAAACGCAGATCGCTTGAAATGTTAACGACATATTCGAAAGAAGACATTCTATACCTCTCAAGAAATGAAATTCGTATATTTATGAGTGACTTCTGTCGAATACTGACAAAGAACTTGTATTATAAAATAGTTTATTACCACTGAGTTGGGTACAAATAAAGACATTTAAACCTGAATATCATAGATACTAGTCTGTTTTCGAGCTCAAAAGTTTAAACTTTGGGTGTAAATACTTAATAAACAAATCATAGTGACAATACATGAGACAAATGCTGGTTCAAAGAAAACAGAAAATTTTAAGGAAAGAGACAATTAGAAGACAGACGTAAATGGGGGAAAACAGAAAAACCAATCAGAGGAAACCAGCGTTGGAGGATGAGGATGAGATTAATCTGGCTTAGGACAGGGACCGGTATCAGTTTATCATAAACATGGTATTAAAACTTCGAATTATATACAAAGCGGAGAATTTCTTCAATAACTTAGCGTACTATCAGCTTCTCAACAAGTTTCTACTTTTGTGCAAATTTTCACTTTTCAATAATGAGTTTTAAAATATCTTCATTCACAGGCTTTTGTTTCAACGAATGTACCAAATGGTAAAGTCTGTTCAATAAACATATCACAAGTCGTAAGTGACTGACAAGCTCTGTAGCACGTCAAACGAGTGTCATAAAATGAAATGAATTTTTGTTGCAGATACAGCATATCTTTTCTTCTGCGGTATAATGAATACAAGGTTGGCGCAGGCCGCCAAGAGATCATACATGGAGCTAGCTTCTCTACCTGTACCACCCGGCAGTCTCACGTGCTTTAATTCCGAATAGAACAGCGCCCTCAACTACCACAACTCCTTTCCAGATCAGAGGAGAGAAACCCTCAGATGGCGCAGAGTGTGAGGCGCAAAAAAAAAGAGGCCCTTCTCGAGCGTGCTAGTTGATTATCATTTCATCACTTTGCTTTTAATTAAAATGCAAATCTTTCATAAGAAGGATTATATAGAAAAGGGATGAGTAAGAGAGAGAGAGCAGGGTAAAGAGAGGGTAGGTGGTATGTAAAATGTCAGAATCCGTGAGAAAAGAAACTGTATGATTAATCCACTAGCAGAAGCAACCGAGGTGAGTGAGTGCGCTTCTTTGCAATGTTTTTTCCTTGGGAATGATAATTTAGCCATCCCACCCCCACCCCCATACCCGCCATCAAAATCCCAAACAACCCAACAGCTCGGCACCATCAAACATAGTAATATACTTACGCGGTAGGTCATTCAATTCTTCTACGTCTGTGTAAGATTTGGGGTTTTCACAGCAGTGAGTATGAAGATTTCTGTCTTCTGGGTTGTTGCGCTGTGTAGTCTAGTCGATGTTAACCAACGTTTCAGAGGTCATACTTCCTCCGTCATCAGGGCGATGAATTCATCGTCCTGATGACGGAGGCAGTATGCCTTCTGAAACGTTGGTAAACATCGACCAGATACAAAGCGCAACAACTCAGAAGACAGAAATCTTCATATTTTTAATAGCCCTGATAACGGAGGCAGTATGACCTCTGAAACGTTGGTTAACATCGACCAGACTACACAGCGCAACAACCCAGAAGACAGAAATCTTCATACTAAGAATCGCCCTGATGACGGAGGCAGTA